TGAAATGCCCTAATTCACCATCTCAAGGTCCTTCCACAACTTGTGATTGCTTGGCATGGTGTTGCCACTTCATGCAAGTAGGTCCATTTGTCTTTGGCCATAATCAAGGTATTTATTTTTGAAAAAGGGGCACAATTCGAAAGCAAAGTGTGTTTGTTGACTTGTTCATGATTTTGTGGCTGCCATAAGAGCTTCTAACAATCAAGTTGGTTCAGATTGGATGTTTCTCACAGTTCATGTTTCTGGTGGCCAGTATCCGGTTCTGATTTTGAAAATTTCTTCTTTCTCAAGCATCAATGTGGCTAGCTATCTATTGAAGGTGGTATTTTTTAATGTACTCTTTTTATTGGGGAAAACATCAAAGCTTCCAGATCAGCATTTTCAAATAAGATCAGAAGTTTGACATTCAATCAATCTACCACATAATTTGTATCTTTGTTGTGTATTTTTGGAGGAAAGAATCATTTAAGACAACCAAATCCGGAGGATGGGAAACCTCTTCTGGAAGTTGACTGCAATAGTGGTTCAACAAGTAAGTTGAATATGGGCTTTTTATTTGATAATATAGGTACAATTTTTATTATATTTAAATTATTCAGATATTAATGAATTATTTGTATTTTATACATATTATATGATATATTTGATTAGTAGTAGTATACCACTTTGACTTGTTAATGCTATGAAAAAATGAAAACATTGATTTGAAAAGGTGAGAAAATAAATAATACTGCTATTATGTATGTTAATGCTATGAAAAAAATGAAAACATTGATTTGAAAAGGCGAGAAAATAAATAATACTGCTATTATGTATGTTTATGATTATTAAAATTACATTTATTTGTTTATCAAAGTCATTGTTTTAGTGCGCACATTTGACATCCAAATTTTAAAATGAAAAGAAAATCCAAAGATATGATAATTGTGTGAAATTATTATCTTTATATAATATCATTATTAAATATAAATAATCAAATTAATCTAAATATTTATATCCATTAGATGAGAAACTATAAATGTGATAATTTATGTTAATATTGATACTAAATTTTAAAATTAATAATTGAATAATTAATAATTACCATTGTTGTTACTAATAATTGTTACTTTATTGGAATTCACAGGTTGGGGAAGATTTGTAAAATTCAATAATCTGCTATTATAAACTGCATTTGGATGAATTACTGCAGTAATTGTTGAAGGATCAAATTTTATTTCATCCATTTTATCAAACTCTTTTTCAATTGATTTATATTCATTATATGGCCTATAATGTTGAAGTGAATCATTCCAAAAATCAATAATCCTGTAAATTTTTCCTGCAGTTGGACGTTTATCTGGATTAGCATCCATGCATCTGAATGCTAGTTCAATATAGAATTTTGGTGTATTGTTTGAAAAACTGGGTCTTGCACCTTTACATATTTTTACTGCAAGGTATTCATCATGTGCCAAATTATTAAATGGTTGTTGACCAGTTGATACTACAGACATCAAAACTCCAAAACTGTATACATCTGATGCCATTGTATATGGTTTTTTTTTTAAAACTTCTGGTGCAATATATGATAATACTCCACATATATCATTTTTGTCTGATGATGATGTTTGACTAGCTGAGCATGATAATCCTAAGTCTCCAATCCATGAGTCATAACTACTTTGAAGAATATTACCACTATGAAAATCATGATGAATAAATTTTTTTTGATGAATATCTTTTAAACCTTTAATAATTTGTCTAAGAATAACAATTTTCTGCTTCCATTTTAAATTTTTAAAATCTTTAGTTAAATAATTTTGAAGACTTCCATCCTCCATATATCTCATTACAAATATATATTCATTTGTAATTGGATCTTGTGTTAATCCATAAATATGAATTATATCATTTTTATCATGAAACTTCATATAATTTTTGAACTAAATAATAAATAAAATATTTAATTACAACAATAATAATTGATAATATCTAAGAAATCTGAAAATAAATAAAAAAATAAAATAATTTACCTCATTAAGAAATTCATCAGAAATATTCTGTGAATCATGTAGTTTTTTTAGTGCAACAGTCCTATCTGTTGATAGCTTCAGCACAGAATATTGTTGATATCATTGATGACATTTACCCCGGAAGGAATATTCCTGTAATACTTGGTGCTGATTATGCTCTCTACGAATCTGACAGAAATCCAGATACTTTTGGTAGCCCCGGATGCACTTACCAAAAGTCAGTCCCAGAAATTGGAAGACGTAATACTGATTTGTTACATGGTCTCAATCGGAAACTCAGGCTGTCGAGGAGGATATGGTATGATGCTGTCAAAGGATTTAATATCACTCAGGACTTGGCCGACCTCATTGATTCCACAATTAAACAAACCGGCAAGAAACCCATAATTGTAGCAACTGGTCCGGTTACCAATATCGCTATGCTTCTACGTGCTTTTCCAACTTACACCACAAAAATCGAAGAAATTGTCTGGATGGGTGGCGCTTTATATGTTACTGGAAATGTGTTTAGCGTGCCAAATAACACTCATGCTGAATTTAATGTTTTTCTTGACTGCATTGCTGCTCAAGAATTACTCGCTTCCGACCTGAAGATCACTTTAGTGCCGCTTGACTTTACAAATAAAGTTCCGCTCAATACTGCTTTGTTTGACAAACTCTCAAATCTCACAAGTTTCTATGGGAAATTTACATATGAACTTTTGTCCATCATTCGTTCAACATGGCTTGGTGGTGATCCTAAATTCTTTAATGGTTATTTTCTTTGGGATGCTAAAACCATCGCTATCATAAAAAATATTGGCGTTAGAGAAATTGTGTCAAATCGTACACTGGCTGTTACTTGTAAGGGAAACATTAATTATGATGGTCAATTTGTAACTTCTCAAGTCTTGACCAATGCAAATCTTCAGGTTGCTAGTGAACCTATTATTAGCAACCCTGTCGAAGATTCTCCATTCTTTCAAGATTTCATTGAGGTACTTGGCAAAAATTAGCATTGTGCGTGGTAAAGAGTTAGCAAAGAACCATTTTACATTGATCCTGATTCAAGGATTGTAGGAATTGAACTAATTGAATAATAAATAATATGGGGCATGCTGTAGCAAAATCTGACAAAGTGAACATTTTATTTCAGGTTTAGGCAATGACCAAAAAGTTTAGTGTTAGAAATATTAGAAAGACAACTCTAGTCCCTTGCCTGTTGTTTTATTTTCCCTGCTTATATTCAATGTTCTCCATACATAATAATTGAAAGTATAGGATTCTAAAGTATTGTTTCGGTTCTGTTCTTCCCCTTCTAACATGCTATAAAATTCATGCTCATGATATAATTAACAAACTACACAATTATGACTAAAAGTAAACTAGACGCTCCTATGTTTATTCTTGCGGTCTCGTTATTACTGAATCATAATAAATAATGATGCCTAAAATATATCTGACCACTGGTTTTTTTGCAGTGATTTTATAGACCGTGATTAATTTAGGCAAAATCAATACGCGAGGATCTTATTGAAGAAGAAATAATAATAAAGATTTATTATTTAATCTGTCGTCATGTGTGTTGGTTAGAATTAAACATTCAATGTGTCTACCATTCACAATAAAACCAATATTAAATAATTTTTTATAAGTCTTAAGAAATAAGGTTATCACAACCAGACATCTTTTTCTTCTTTAGAACACCTTTTTGCCTTTGAGGTTCGGAACTTGAGGATGCGAGGATCACTAAAATAGATAAACTTCTTTTTGGTGTATCAAGCAGCCTTGACTTCTTGCATTTTTGCTGAAGTGGAAAAAATTCAATATATATAAACAAGTAAGCGTGCGAAATAAAGTGGAGAGTGACAAGTCCACTTACCATTATTTTTAATATTTGTTCGTACAACCAATCAAACAATTCACTTACTGCAAATTCTTTTGGATATGTCATATGGTAAATCTAGGAGTTGACAAAAAATCCTTCACATTTAATATGAAAATAAACAGGAAATCTAGATTTTGCACACACTTTGGTGGAACATATAATCGACGACTGGTCAACCTAGTAACATATGTGCATATGCGATTATCTATGAATAAAACGAATTCCAAAATATCAAAGAATTTGTTAGTTAAAATCATTTAACTGAAATCCACAACTATCAGATATTACAAAAGATCTCAAAAATTATTGACTCGTATGAACTAGGAAGATTATCATTAGCATAATGAATTTCACTCGAAGGCGCTTATTTGTATCAAGATTGTATTTGCATGTAACTTCTACCATGTTATCTTTTGCTATTTCTACATTAACCGCACAAGTTATTATGAAAACCATTGCAAGATTTAATTACATAATTCACACAATCTACAATTGTTTTTCTATAGAGCATTCCTATGACCAAATGACCTACAGGTTCCAATAAATCGATCAAATTATTATAGGATCAAAAGGTTTGTTACACCATGATGATACTTTGTATGTCCTTCCTTCACTATTTCCTTTATTGGCGGGTTATTTGATGATAGTTCTATATGATCGAGCCTAATGTAATAGTGCAATTAATTATCAGCAACCTAATAAATAAATCAAAGATTAAAAATCGTACAGTTTGTTTATCAGTTGTCAAGAACGAATTAAATTGATCAGTGGCTCATCGCTCCCATATCATATTTTCATTTTTGGCTGCTGCATCATCTTTGTATAATGGAGATTTTGAAATCAAATGCGAGTGGAGCATTGAGGTTACTCGTGGTAGAGGTCTATTAGATTTTGCTACCTTTATTTGTTGAATCAAAAAAAGGTGATATGGACAAAATTAGAAGGTATGCTAAATTCCTTGCTGTGTTTAATGTAACTTAATTTTTATTGAACAATTTTTCCATAAATTCCATCAGACCAATCAATGATACTCCAAAAACCATGTTTGGTATTGTTAGCAACGCTGAGAAACGGCATGTCTTAAAATTGGTCTTTGATAATAAAAAAGAAACCATGATATGGCTGTTTTAAGTGAGAAGATTCCGTTTGAGCTATCTTTTGTTAACTATTTCACAAAAGAATTGTCTGTATAATAAAAATGAACCAAATATTTAAATATTAAATTTAAAAATCAAAACTTTTCCATGTACACTATGACCTGAAGAACATAACTGCAAAAACAGTATTGTGCATTTACAGTTAATGTATTGAAGAAAGCAAAAAGAAAAAAAAGCAAAGAAAAAGGAAGATAAAAGAAAAAATTTTGATTCAGATAATAATGAAACACAACAAATTTTTAATGCTAATAATAATGTTGAAAAATCACCTCGTATGCTTATTACAAATAGTAGCCGAGAAAATACTGATAAAGATTCAAAAGGAAATGATGTTCTATTATTTCCTGATAATATTTTAATTCGTAATGTAGACCCAATGAATGCACTGGAATTTTCTAAAAGGTTTTTGTTACCATCATTATCATCGAATCAAGATCAAAATACCTCTTCAATCACTTTTCAAGTAGATCCAAACCCATACAAAGCTGTAATAGTAATATGTTCACATAGACGTCGTGATAAAAGGTGTGGCGTAGTTGCTCCAATATTAAAAGATGAATTTGATAAAATATTAAAAGATAAAAAGTTGGATGTAGAAAACAAGAAAGCCGAAGGCGTGGCTGTGTTTTTAAGTAGTCATATAGGAGGTAATAGGACTATTCTGACTTATTTTTATTCATTATTTATATAGTATTTTCCCATTAAAACTTTTTTTAAAACATTTTTTAGGACACAAATTTGCTGGCAATGTTATAGTTTTTCGAGATGGTCAAGGTATATGGTACGGACGTGTGATTCCATGCCATGCCAAAAGTATTATAGAATATACTGTTATTGAAGGAAAAGTGATAAAAGATTTGTACCGTGGATCAATAAATGGAAGTTTTGCGCCAGGAAAAGGTGGAAGATTGGATTGGTAATATAGTATTTATTATAATAATGATAATTATAGTACTAGTTGCAGTTATTTATATAAATGATAGACATGTATTAATTAATTTTGTACACATTTTGCTAATCTGGTGGACATTACTGTATTTTTCCTTTGACATAGAATCTACTTTACAAAATAATTATTGTACTATCTATCATTTTTATTTTGAATTTTGTATATACATGCTTAATATGTTCCCCATAATAATCTTTTAACAAACTTGTAATTTGCACAGGCATATGATTACCACCACCTTTTTGTCCATATTTTTGGTTGCTTTTCAGTGCCCAACCCTTGGGAAGTTCAAAGACCGATTCAAGTGGTTCATTACCAGCTAAAAATTCAGTAGATAGTGAAGTTTATATTTTCAATCATATAAAAAATAAAATTATACTTGCATATTGGATCAATTGTTGATGAAACATTTTTTTTACTATCTATTGTCTGATCTAATAATAATTATTAAAAATATCTTATAGGTTTAGCAGTGTAAATGGAATACCATATAGTCCCGCCCCTACTTTAAAACAATTGAGCGTCAATATAAAAAACATGTTACACGTATGTTGTGTTGGTTGGTGTTTGCTGATGTATGTGAGGTTGTCATTTTTCGAGAATAATAAATAGTAACAATAAAATAAATAACAAATTTAATTCAAGGTGGATTTGTATTTTAGTTAACGATGTTGAAAATAAAAAAAAATTAGAATTTTATCATATAAAATAAAAAAAGCTGTGTCACAAAGTTGCCATTTTGGACATTAGTAAATTTATTATGAAATTTGCCCCTATG